AACCAGGAGAGAAATAGCTGCTCTTACTATGGTGTTTGGTCTCATCATTCCCAGTGGCATTCAGTAGCTTCCCAGAATCCCTTGCTGATTGTCATCCCACTTCAAATAGCCTGGCCTGAGATACCTGTTCATTCTATCCCACATCCACTGACCTTAATCTGAAAATTGGGGTGGCTCTAAAACTGCTGACTTGGTAGGTAGACCCCTCTTCTACTCAGGCGAGCAAAGCCAAAGGCAGGCATGTGCATGGCTAACCTAGAACAAGGTCCAGCCTCAAAATGAACCTCCTGGCTTAGAAAGCTCAGGGGTACTCATGTCTGGAAAAATAGTTCCCACATGCTGGTTCACAGCTTTCAGCTACCCTGAAGCAGTTTCTCCAACATACAGGAAAAAAAGAGGACTCCCAAGTTAAATCATTTACAGACTTTTGTACTAGGCGTATGAACACCATTCACTCCGAGTGTTAGTCTCCTTTCTTTGTGGAACAGTGGTAGTTATGTACACACACCAAGAACATGCTGGAGCATGTGTGGGGCTTCTGAGTGCAGGCCGTGGGGCTGTGTCACCTGTGTTTAGATCCTATGTCCACTTTCCTCTAAGTGTGGCCTTTGGGAAGGTCATCTAAAGTCCTGGTGCCCTGGAAAATATGGACATGAGACTATTGTGAGGATTTAGCAAAATTCCATACATAGACCAGCATGTAGGGCACACTTGTAATCCCAGCACTTGTGAGGCTGAGGCAGGAGGATTAGAGATCTAGGCTAGGTACATAAAAAGGCCCCAACTCAAAAAAAAAAAAGAAAGGAAAAAATAGGAAGTGGCATTTTTTGTTGTTGTTAAATTCTGAGTTCTTCCATAATTTTACAGCTTCAAGAAACTCTACTGCCTGAAGTCCACTGGCTGGAAGAATCAGTTTCCCTTACACAGGTTCCAGATGGGCAACACACAAACTCCAAGCCTGGAAATGTGAAAGTTGTATCATTGATTCACATGGCACAGACTTAGAATCCATAGGTATCCTGCAAGTTGCTTCAGAGGAGGTGTCCTGTTCACCTGTGCAGGTCTTCTGGCTTACTCTAATCCTAACATACCACCTACCCCCACAATTTGTGTGTGTGTGTGTGTGTGTGTGTGTGTGTACAGACATGCCCATATGTGGTAAGCACCAAGCTAAGCTGTGACAGGCACCTGTTATGTCTCATGGGATACTGCTTTATCCATGCTTCTCACCTAGAGACATCTGACTGAAGTCACATCTGTGTTACCAGTCTGGTAATAAACTGTCCGGATTCTAATTCTGAGAGTCAGCATGAGATGTCCTGCCTGTAGACAGAGGGCTGGAAGACTGGCTAGAGAAAGACAGTGCTGGGGCCCCTTGGATGCTAACCCTGAGACAGGCACCGATTTTACTGCACTGAAGGATAATTAGAAACTAGAGGCCCCACCTTGTGAGGGGCTCTCACTTCTATGACAGCACAATATCGCCACCATGTGGACAAAGACCTGAACGACCATTTACCTGCCAGTTCTGCGCAGTGGCTCTGAGTCTGGAGTCCTAAACCTAGATCTGGGATTTGAAACCTTCCCTCTTCTGTTGAGTTTTTGTTCTCTAACCTATTTCCCAGTGTCTCCTGCAGAACCTTGGTGGAAGCAGGAGCAAACAGGATCTGAGTTCCTTCATTAAGCTTCTAAGGTTTTGATCAGTGACAAAAATAATTGAGATTCAAGGCAGTTTGGGAGGGACCGGAAAATTAATTGCTTTCAGATTCCCAACATAAGATGGTCAGCCAGGGAACAGACTCCATTGTGTGTGCTAAGCTGAAGAGGCCAGTCATAATACTGGAGTGTCTCCCAGAAGCCCAGCTGCACAGTTTTCTGTGAACAGTTTTCAGCTACCAGCTTTGCATTACCACTGCCTCTGCCGCCTCCTCTCGTATGGATCCAGCCACAGCCAACTAACCCTACAGCGCCGGATCTTAAGACGACTTTCATCTGTGTAATATGACAGAAGCTAGGTGGTTAGATATTAGACCCCACATCCCACCTGTCATAACCACTTCTTCCAGCCTGCCGGCCCCTCAGTCATCCTTTACCCACACTAGGCTGCTGAGCAAATGGCACAGGATGCAAGGCTAGCTACAGAGTTCATGGAGCAATATAAAATATATAGACCCTTATTCAAAGGCAAGAGTGGAACATAGAACCAAGGGTGGGGCACTTCTAGGCTTGGAGCCCAGTGCCTTTGCAGGCACAGGGGAGACAGCCCTGGATGGCTGCCTTGTGTAGAGTAAAAGGCTCTCTCGCTTTCAACACCTTCACTCCAGGCTACAGTGGCAGTAAGTGGTCTCAGAATGCATCATTCATCCCACGCCCTGCACGCTGGACTTGGCTACAGCTACTGCGGCCTACACTAAACTGACTCTTCTGTCGCACACTCGGTGCTGAGTTTGTGAAGTGAAAACAAATGTGTGCAAAACAGTTTGGATCATGAGCCATGCCCTCCATCCCCCCTCCCGGTAAAGCTAAGATGGGCCAGTACCCAATACCATTGCAGACTTGTGTAGCCAACTGCTCCCCAGTGCCGTGGAATCTCTTATCTCCCCAGCTCTTTGGTGGTACCAGTGACTCGCCCCTATCAGTGATGAGTCTGCCTTTCTGCTGGCTCTGGGTTCCTAGCCTGTTTTAATCTATCAGCAGAAAGGCTAGACCTAGGTTCTTAATCTTTATATGGTTATATTTTGTTTGTTGTTTTTATATACTTCTCTGTGTCTCTGCTATAGCATAGGTAAATAGTACAAAGGACAACCCGAGGGAGTTCTTCCCCTTTTTAATGTGTCCTCTTTCCTTCCACTGTGTGTATCCTAGGGACAGGATTCTGGTTGTGAGGTTTGGCAGCACACACTTTTACCCACTGAACCATCTTGCCAGCCCTCCATAATCATTTTTGGGACATCAACATTTGGTTGATTTCCTAGGGTTTTTAGGATTCACCCAGCACCATGGGAAACAAAAGCACCAGACCTTGCTCAGGGTACCACACGGGACCCTCAATTTAGTCCATAGCAAGCTCGGAGTAACATGAACCCCTGCTAACAGCTCCGACGCATGTTGGTAACCCTCCGGAGGCCTCCAGAGTGGGCTGCTGCTGCCAGCACCTCCAAAATGAGGTCTCAGGAACTCTATATAAAGAGTGTGAAATTGAGCCTGTGAATTCAGCAAAATCTCAAAGCTCCTGCCCAAGGACCACTCTTTGAGAGCCACTGGAGAGGAGGAGAGTATCCCTGAAGGGTAGCTAATTTCCAGGTGTAATATAGTGAAGTGACTCCATTAACCTAGGACAGTAGGGCTAGAGGAAGCAAGGTCAGGCAAGCCCTACTTACATGTTTGCTGCTGGGGAGTGAGTTCTTATTGTATACGGAAGCTGTGGTGGACACTGAGGTGCTATGTGGGTGGCCCAAGCTGCATCAGCCTCCCTGATATCATGTGTGTGAGCTGGCAATACACACACACACAAACACACACACAGGATCAGCCCACACATGTGCCCTGCAACCCCTCACTTAACATAATCCCTGGCTCAAACTCTCAGAGCTCCTGGGGACTGGACCACCAGCCAACGAGTACACATGGAGGGACCCATGGCTCCGGCCACATATGTGGCAGAGGATGGCCTTGTTGGACATCAGTGCAAGGAGAGGCCCTTGGGTCTGAGGGTGTTCGATGTCCCAGTGTAGAGGAATGCCAGGACGGGAAGACGGGAGGGGGGGCACCCCCACCGCGGTCGGGGGAGGGGGGATGGGATAGAGGTTTCAGAAGGGGAGACCTAGAAAGGGGAAAACACTTGAAGTAATAAAGAAAATTAAAAAAAAAAACATGCTGGGTGGTGATGGCACACGCCTTTAATCCCAGCACTTGGGAGGCAGAGGCAGGCAGATTTCTGAGTTCGAGAGTTCGAGGCCAGCCTGGTCTACAGAGTGAGTTCCAGGACAGCCAGGTCTATACAGAGAAACCCTGTCTTGAAAAAACCATAATCTCTGGCTTAATCCTTCTGTCCCATATCACTAGGAAGGAGCAGCCATGTCAGGAGGACAGGAATGCGGCTTACAAGGTGAGTCATCTTAGAGAATACTCTAGCTAGAATCAGAGACAGCACAAATACCACACAAGCAGTCAGAATGACGGTCTTAACTTTGTGTTAACAAAGTCCAATGGTAAGTAACAGCATCGTCCAGGAGCATCACTGGGAGGCATGAGCTGGGAAAAAATGCTGGGAAGCAGAGTTGGCTTCCTTCATAACACTGACACGGTCACCTCCAAGTCTACCAGAGGCCAGTCCTCCTTCAGCCTCAGCCCATACAGGGCCCCAGGAGCCTTCTAAGGGCTTTTCGAAAGATCTCTAACCTCTCCCCAGATCTACAGCCCTGAGCCACTCCAAGTAGGGAGAGAATATTTTATAAAATAGAGGGACGGCACAGGAGGTATAGGCACCCATTGCTAATGCAGCATCTTTCCTCCAAACTGGAACTCATCCACCCCCATGCTGGACCCTGTGTCCATGAGCACCCTGTGTAAGCATACATATGTGTCTGAACAGCATGTGTAACCACCTCTGCACCGAAAGCAAACCCACAGCACTTTGCACCTTCCTCTTCCTCTGATGTGTCACCATGACTGCCGCCGCCTGTCCTCTCACCCCCAATAGAGCAAGGCCAGGGTCAGGCCTGAACAGTCACAGTGCCCACTCTCTACATGATTCCTCTCCCCCTAACTCCCTCCTGACCCACCTTCTGTCGCAGTCAGGGCACTGGCTTATAAGTGAGCACTTGTTATAACCAAGGACAGACAGCCCTTGGCCTAGAGAAGACAAGGTGCTGTGGTCTGTGCTCAGGGAAATTTAGTTCCAGTTTAGTGCAAAGGGAACTATTCATAGAAGGGATTGGGAGTAGGGGGAGGGGGGAGGAGGGGAGAGTATAGTAGTATAGCAAGAAAAACAAATTACCTAAAAAGAAATAAAATGTTTTACTCTCAAATACCCACCCCTGGCACCAGCAAAACAATTCAGCCTTAGGTGCCACTCGTTTCTGGGGGTCCCTAGAGCCAGAGCTTCCTGAAAAGAGTGACCTCCCGAGCCCTTCCACCCATAGGGCTCCCAGGAGCTCAACAATAGTTTTCCTTTAGAGTCAGGAAGCAGCTCTCCAGGAAAGCATCATCTTCACCCAGCTCAGGGCTAGAGGGGAAGGCTGCCATCAAATCCTTGCCCCCGGCTGGGCCACTAGCACAGAAGTACTCTCTCCGATTCCTGAGGGATCCCACTTTGGAAACTCAGGGAAGAACTCTGAGTCCTAGGGATGCAGTTCACAGTCTGGGTTGTGGGGGAGAGACCACAGCATAAATGTCCTCAGTGCTCCCCTCCTGTATCCAGGTGTGCGTGTCAGGGCATCCCCTGTGGGTATTCGTGGTCGGCCATCTGTCCATGCTCCTATACCCCAGTGTGCTCTTTGATCCAGTCCCGAACTACAGGGATCCTTGTGTACACGCCTGGCTTGTTCCTCTGAGCGCAGCCTTCACCCCAGCTCACCACACCAGCCTGGAAGATTCGCCCATCTTTCTCCACACTGGACAAGGGGCCTCCGGAGTCACCCTAAGCAAAAACAAATCCAGTGCATGAGGCCCTTACCTAAACTCTTAGTAGCTGCCTCAGCCAAACTGGCCTCTCCCATGGCCAACTGACCTCTCCCCACAGCTTGACTTCCCCTTGACTCCTGCTTACCCCTGCCCAGGCTCTCCCCAGCCCCACCTATCCCCAGCTCCAGCCTAGTTAGGGCTCCCTTCTCCCTATCCCCTGCCCTGCCTTTCTCTTTCTCTACCCTGCCTCTTTGCCTTCGCATTCTGCATGGCACTTCCTCTCCCTGGTCTGGCCTTTCCCCAGCTTCAGCCTTTCAAAGTCCCTTCCCTTCCGGCTCTGCCTTTCTCCTGTAAGCGCACACACCTGGCAGGAGTCCACACCCCCACTGAGGAAACCCACACACATCATCCGTGGGGTGATCTGCTGGGGTAGGAGGTCCTCACAGGTGGTCTGGTTGATGACCCGGATCTCACCCTTCTGCAGGATTAGTGCTCCAGTGCCTGGGGGAATAGTAAGATGGGGACTGAGGCAGGTAGCTCCCGGGGCAAGCCAGTCTACCTGGGGGAAAACTCACTGGAGATACTCCCCGCTGGTCAAGTTTACAAGCGATGCTTGCAAATAACCCAAGAGTCTGCAGCTGACATATCAATAGGTCAGTAGCCGATAACACACGGAGGGGTATTGTGTAGCCATTAAAAGTAACCAGACTGCACAGACTGTCAGATATACAGCAAGGCAGGGGATGGATGGAAAGTGGGGAAAACACCAAAAATCTCACCAAATGCCACAATAACTCTGCCAGTAAGGGAACCTTGTAAGTCAGGGTTTTACCTCTGTATGAATGTTCACCATGAACTATACCAATCTGGTAATGGAGTCTTTCAATCTTTTTTTTTTTTTTCTGGTTTTTCGAGACAGGGTTTCTCTGTGTAGCCCTGGCTGTCCTGGAACTCACTCTGTAGACCAGGCTAGCCTCCAACTCTTGAACTCAGAGATCCGCCTGCCTCTGCCTCCCAAGTGCTGGGATTAGAGGCGTGCACCACCACCACCCGGCGGAGTCTTTCAATCTTAAGTTTACCTACAACCTGCTTGTCCTCCACAGGGCACAAGGATGCACAATGGGTAACATCTGTGGGCCCAGCTCAAAGGCTTACCCACATAGAAAAGGAGCACCCCAGTTCACACTCACTGAACATGCAGATGAATAACCACAGTTAATAGATCAAGCAACTGACCACTCAGCCAGTTCAGTGGCAGAGTCAGGGCTTCAATCAAGAGCCCAACCTGCACATCCTACACTTTTTACTAGGAGCCTCCTTTTCCTTTCCGCCCCCAACAGCTTCATCCTGCCAGGCACTGGGACGTTGAGGAAGCCACCAGCCCTGAAGCCAGGATGGACTCTGTGCACCCTAGACAACAAAAGGGCTGTAGGTGTACAAGCACCATGGCCTTAAAGGTAGGCCTAGGGCTCTCTGCAGGTTCTGGTCTGGCCTGAAGCTCACCTCCCTCTTGTGTATGCCCCCAGCCTGTGACCCAGATGGCCTTGCCAGCAGGGAAGACATGGGTAGCATCAGGTAGGCAGATGGGGCGCACGACAGTGCTGTACTCCGCTGGCTTCTCCAGCTCCAGCAAGGCGATGTCATAGTCAAAGGTAAAGTCATTGAAGGAAGGGTGGCTGATGATACGTTTGAGCTTGAGCTCCTGTACCCCAGAGGCACTGCGCTTGCTCTGGTCCAGCAGACCCAGGAAGGCTGTCCACATCGTGTGGTCTGAGTACCTGGAATGGCACAGGGGAGGCAGAGCAGTCACTAGTCTGTGGGTGGCTATGAATGCACAGTCAGTGCCCTAAGTTCTCATAAAGACCCAGAAGGCTACCCACCATAAAAAAGGCCTTAAGCAGCTGCTGTGGAACAGGAGGCAGAGGGAAGCTCTTACTAGTAAGAGGTGTTGGATCACCCCCTCCCCTGGAGCTGGTGTTATAGGCAGTTGTGAACTATCCAACATGGATGCTAGGAGTTCAACTCTGGTCCAGACATACATTCTCTTAACCACTGAGCTGTCACTGCAGCCCAAGGCCTTCCCCTTTCTAATGTCCTCCCATTCATTCTTTATTCTCATATTTCTATTCCAGTGATGCATTCATTCACCTATTTGTTCACTCATTCACTCAATCATGAATGGACATCTATGACGTTCCAGAGAAAAGCCTTAGGGCCCATGTCAAGTTCAGAGTGTACCAGATCTTCTTTCCAAGGATGGACAAGTCTTAAATTCCCCTGCATCTGAATCCTCTTATACCCCTGTGGCCAACGGCCAGAGCATCTGGGGTCAGATACAAGTAGCCCCAGCCTCAAACCTACCTACCTGTTTCTGCTACTTCTCTGACCTTGAAGACTCTGACACCCACCTGCCTTGTCCTGAGAGACCAATTTGAGCCCTCCCTGTAGACACATACCTACTGTGTGCTAGATACAGTCCTGGGCCACAAGTAAATTATCACCTTTAGCTCTCCCAACTCTAAGGGTGAGAGCTCACTGTATCATATTGTCAGGGCCTAGAAAGGGAATAACCTGCCCCAAAGCCAACTGCAAGACAGACCTTAGACAGAATCAAGGCTCATCACTAACCAACCCCAAGGAGCCATGAAATTAGGAAGTAACCAAATAGCTCAAGTCTGGCTCTACCACTGAGCTGTGGACAAATGCCCAAACAAAAACCCAGACAAATGCCCCTTTCTCTCCAAGCACCAGTATCTGCAAAGTAGGGGCACATATAGAACTGTCTAATTTGTTAGGGGTAGCACACAGTGGACCTGACTGTGAGGCATGGTGCAGCATGCCTTTAATCCCAGGCCTTAAAAGGCAGAGTGTGAGTTCCGGGTCAGTCTGGTCTACATAGTGAGTACTAGAACAACCAGGGCTATGCAGAAAGTCCTATCTGGGATGCCCACTCCTCCATCACCCTGCTGTAGTGCCAGCTTACCCTGGCAAAAATTCAGACAAAGGATACCTCCCTGCATACCTGGATACTTACTTGAAATTTCTTTCATCCTGAAAGCAATGAGCTGCAGAGACCAGCCAGTCGGGAGAGATGAGTGAGGCCCCACACAAGTGGCCCTGGCCCAGGGCGTGGAGGCTCACCTGCCAGGGCCACTCGCCCTCGTCCGCATTCGTGCCGCCAACCACGCGAGCCTGTTTGGTAAATGATCGCAGCCCACATTCTGGACAGGGGATAGAGAACCAAAGTGCAGCCACTAAACATCAAAGGGACGTTCCTTGTGCGCGGCGAGACTCAGCTCAGGAATCTCCGTTGGGTATGCACAGCAACACTGAGCAGAAGGGTCCCTAAGCCTCACAGATCCACCATCCTCCCCTGTCCCCCGCTCTCCCTGCCCCACGCATAAGCACATCCAGGCTCTAGACACCTGCTGCTCTCGAGGGCTTAATGTGCTATCACTAGCTAAGGGATACAGCTCAGAACACAGTATATGGAGATATGAAGGCACTCCAGCCAGCTCTTCTAGGACACACAGCATGGGCGGGTGAGGCTCTTTCTCCTACAAGCCAGTCACCCATTGCTGTCTGTCTGTCTATGAAGCAACCAGTATGTTAGCTATGTCCCGGAGATGCTGACATGCTGGCTTCCCACAGAACTGTGTGTTTATGCCAAGGGGCGAAGTCTTCCTTTCCTCCAGACAGATGTGCCCTCTGAGTGGGTACTGGGCTGTGTGAGTGGGGTTCTGGTAAGATCTCCACCCCTGGGTGCTCTCCCAGATGCTGCACAGTGAACACCCTGGCCCACCATGCACAGCTGCCCTGCTTACCACAGTTTTTTTCATCCGAGCCATCACTACAGTCCTTCTTCCCGTCACATTCAGGATTGCCCTTGCTCAAACAGAGGCCATTTTGGCAGCGGTAGGTATATTTGGTGCAAGAGACGACATTCACTGTTTATGGGAGAGGATGGACATGTCACGCCACCACTGGCCACCTTGCTGGCCACCCGTGTCCACAGCCCTGCTCCAGGTTCTCCACCTTCTGGAAGATTCTCCCCAGACTTAATAAACAGGAAAGTTGGGTTTGCAATCTCTGAGAGCACTCCATAAAGCCTCAGACAGGCTCCTACCTTGGGGTGCAGTTTTAGTGAGAGGAGTTACCATCCACACGGGAAGGCAGCCAGAGCTGGGTCTTACCGCTGTCACATGAGGCCTCGTCAGACCCATCTCCACAGTTGTCCTTCCCATTACACTTCTGGCTCTCAGGGAGACACTTCCCATTGGAACACTTGAAATTCCCAGCAGGACAACCTATGGAGATGCAGATCCTTAGCAACCTGCAGCATGCCTTGACTCACTGGGCCAAACGGGGACCTGGGAACCATAGCAGCCCCTCACCCCAAGGTACTCACTGCACCCCTCCTCGTCACTGCCGTCCCCACAGTCATTGACACTGTCACAGACCCAGAAGAGGGGCTTGCAGAACTGGTTCTTGCACGTGAACTGGTGGGTGGTGTTGCATCCTATTATGGGAGAGCTAGAATCAGCTGCAGGCTCCCCGGGCAGCCTGGGCAGTCACAGTTGCCAGAGATGCCGTCTTATCTAGAAAATAGTGAGCATCTCCACACCAGTAGCTGTCAGTGCTGACAGACACTCACCTGCTAGCCAAGATTTCCAATGGCATGGGGGGTGGAGGGAACAAGGGTGAGACCAGGGTCTCAATGCCTCGTGTCTTTCTGCCAGGATAGACAAGGCAGAACCAGGGAAGGAGAAGGTCATGCCACCGGACAAGAAAAGGGTAGGAAAGAGCAGGAGGCAGGAGGGGGCAGGGCCTGGTATGAGGAATGGGGGAGGAACTGGGGCAGACTACAGAGGACTCACGGCAGTAGCGCTCATCACTGTAGTCAGGGCAGTCTGCCCAGCCGTCACAGCGCAGGTCCTTGCGGATGCACCGTCCAGTCTTGCACATGAACATCCCTGGGCACGCTGTAGGGATGTAGAGACAGGGATGAAGTTCATGGCTGCCCCCTCTTTCCCTACCAGCCACCTCACAGCCCCACTAAGACATCAGCCTGTAAGTAGATGTAGACACTGAGAGCCAAATCTGACAAGGGGAACTTTTGTATCAGCAGCCAGAATGGGTAGCATGCTGGTGGATGGCCCTGACCACTGACTGTGCTGACTGCATAGCCATGGGGAAGAGAAGCCAGCTGCATGCGTAGTCCTCCACTGTCCTGTGTTTCTCCAGACAGAGGCCTGTGACTCGGCACTCTGCCTGTGGGGTCACAGAACAGTGCGCCCGTAGTGTTTATGTCCTAGCCAAGTGAAAATGACCTCAGTATTTCCTTGATGCTAACACTTCAACATTCATGCTAACAAGTTCAACATTCCCGAAACAGGGAGAAACCTGACAATTATTCCTTGGGTGGAGGACAGAGCTGTTGTCATTGCCCCCGCACAAACACAACTTCAGTCACAAGTATGTCCTTACATCAAAGCTATCCAGTCATCCAGAAAGACTTTTGGAAGCTATCCAGCTGCATTGCGTTTTTAAGGTTTATTGATTCTCGTTTTGTGTGTATGGGTGTTTTGCCTGCATTTCATGGCTATGAACCACTTGCATGTAGTGCCCATGGAGGCCAGAAGAGGGCGACATATCCTCTGGGACTGGAGTTAACAGGCGGGAACCACACCTGGGTCCTCTGCAAGAGCAACAGTGCTCTTAATCACTAAGCAATCTCTGAGGGGCTCTAACAGGCCTGAGCATGGCAGACACAGGCCTGAGCATGGCAGACACCTCAGACAGGTTTTGCCCTTTTACCCCTTTCCTTCTCCCTTGCTAAAAACCATTACATTCCTAAAGCTAGCTCCATGACCATTCCCTCATTTGGCTACTTCCTCCTCCTGAGGGTGACTACCAAGGACCAGATATGAAAGTATTGAAGTCTAGCAATCAAAAGCCCTCTTTGGGTCACCTAATTAACATGCCCAATTCAAATTAAACACCTCTTACTAACATGGAGTTTTCCGTTGGACATTTATAAACCACCATTGGCCTATGGGCCACGTCTGTCTCCTCTCAGTCTAGAGACAGCCTTTTGTCCCTCCAGGACAAATATCCCTTCCCCCTCTCCCTTGTTCTTTCCCCTCATCCTCTATCTCCTGTCTTTGTCTCTTGCTCCCTGCCCTTTGTCTCTCTGGGGCAAATAAATCTCCTTTGGTCTGAGAATTTGGTCTTGGGGTGTCCTGAACCGACTCTGAGGCCCTTACACTCTCGCCAGCCCCTGAAGTTACATTTTAAATTAAATGTGAGTTTCAGTACTTAAAATGCCTCCCAAAGGATTATTCCATGATACAGGGCTGAGATTAAAAGTTGCAGCACGAACTGCCCTCAGCCAAAACACCAAGACCCAGAAGTCTGCAGAATCTGAGGCTTTTTCAGAGTTGACATGATGCCACAGGTGGGAAGGCACAAACCTGACCTCATGTGACCTCATGTGACTTGAGAAAACACAGGTGTGCTGATGTGATGTTCTGATGACGCTCACGAGAAGAAAAACTGAGTTTCATTTTGTGTTTGTGTGTGCTGTATGTACATATTCCTGTGCACACGGAGGCAGGAAGGCAATGTCAGGTCTTCCTCAGTCACTCTCTTTTGGGGGGTTTTGGTTGTTTGTTTTTTTTGTTTGGTTGGTTTTTTAGTCAAGCCTTCTCATTGAACCTGAAGCACATCAATTCAGCTATACTGGCTGGCCAGCAGGCTCCTATGTCTGCCTCCCTGGCTCTGAGTTATGGGCACACGACTCAGTTTCTATGTGGGTGTTGGAGATCCGAATGCAGATTCTCATGCTAGGTGGCAAGAACTCTACTATCTCAGCTCTCTCTGAAGCCCCAGATTTCACGTTTAGACTTGGGTCCCATTTCCAAGATCCACTGTGGATATATAAAACTTTTTAAGTCCGAAGTTCACCACACTTCTAGTCCCAGGCATTTTAGATATGGGACACTCAATCCGCACTCTTTAGGCCAACGAATCGCTGTTCACATAGCTAATAGTGTTTTCTAATGTTTCAGTACTTCAAATTAATCCTAAAAGTGCTAATAGATTCTCAAGGGAAGCACAGATTACCAAAAAGAGGTGTGGCCCCAGGAAGTTGGTAAGGAAGGTCTGAGGGCTCCTTTGCATCTCAGGGAAGCAGCCATGAGAAGCACAGATGTACCAGTGTTTACTCATTCTCTTGTTCTTGTGCTGGGGACTGATCACAGAGCCTCGAGATCTTTCTTAACACAGAGAGCCACACCCCTAGCCCAGCCTTTTTTTTTTTTTCCCCATAAACAGCTTTGCTTTCCTCTAAAGCTACCGCAGTGAGATGCATCTGACACTCCATTGTCTCGGAGGAAGCACAGTGCAGGACAGAACAGAGAGTACTTCCTGCACCAATCCCACCAACCATCAGCAGCCACATTCACTCACGGTCATTGGAGTCGTAGGACAGGTACTCAGCTAGGAACCCTGTGTCCGTGTACGAGTGGTCAGAATGGAAGTGAACTGTAATCTTGCTGCTGTTGCTGCTCACCACAAACTGGGACCTCTCACCACAGTACCTAGAGGCCAAGAGTGAGGCTGAGGGAGATTCGGCTGGCAACCAGACAACTGGGGGTGCCTGGAGTCAGCCCTCCCAACATCCAGGATGGTGGTTGCACCCCCAGGGGCTCACTTCTCCCCGTTGATCTCCACATAGTCCTTGGTGCAGGAGCCCACTGGTACGTTGGGGTCAACCAGAAAGAAGAGTTTGAAGCGCACCTTCACATTCCGGTTGTTGGGCACCTGGACAGAGAGATGCTTTGGGGACTCTGACTTCTCTGGTACTTAACACAAAGGATATCCACAGGAGGGCAATGGAACAGGATGAAGCAGGATCCTGAATGAACCCTATACGCACTATGACCTTTCCTCCTACATACATATATACATACATACATACATACATACATACATATGATAAATGGCTCTCCCATTTTTAAGTTTTAGTTATTTTAACTGATATATAAAACCATAAATATATTATTACTACATAATCCTTAAATCAGATTAAAGGTATTTACCTCCTTGAATATTTATGATGGTTTTTAAATAGTGAAAACCTTCCTCTGGCTTTTTGAGGTCTGGTACCTCTAGTCAGTGTCTCTGCAATACATGCCAGAGTGCCTGGGTCCTGTCTAACTGAACATCATTCCCCCAAACCTTAATCAGCTTCTTCCACCCCTTCTCCCTACTCTCCCAACCTCTCTGGTAACCATTACTCTCTTGATTTCTAAGAGGCCAACCTTTGGGAACTCCACCTATGAGTAAGGCCATGTGACCCTTGTCTTTCTTGTGTCTTTTTTTTTTTTTTTTTTTTGGTTTTTCGAGACAGGGTTTCTCTGTATAGCCCAGGCTGTCCTGGAACTCACTCTGTAGACCAGGCTGGCTTTGAACTCAGAAATCCGCCTGCCTCTGCCTCCCAAGTGCTGGGATTAAAGGCGTGCGCCACCACTGCCCGGCCCACAAGTCTTAATAACTTCAACATTTAATTTTTCACCTGCAGGAAGGACTTTCTATCTTTTCTGTGGTCTATCCAAAGAGCTAATATTTAGGGGTCATTATTAAGTAAGAGTTCTTTGAATGCAAGCCCTGTGACACACAATGGTCAGTGTGATACCCTGAAGGGTATTAAGTAACTAACAGTCAAGTATCACATCCAGCGTGGGCACTGAACAAACCCATTCTTCCCACCCACATTTATTGCTGGAGTTTCCCACCTAACATTTTCAGATCGTGACTGACCACAGGTAACTGCAACTTGGAAATGAAAACCATAAGCACACGTATGGGAATTTGCTTGTACTCCATTACTTTGAAAAGCTAGGATGGTGTCTCAGCATCTTTAAGGAAAGACCTCCAATTGGAGGGCGTGAGAGGTGCCCTGAAGCACTGCCGCTATGCGAGGACTTGCTCTCATCACACTTTCTGTGAGGTCATCCTGACAACACCTCTTAGAAACAGATCCTGGGCCTCACTTTACCCGGAAGCGAGCTGACCCAGAGAAGACAAATAAGTAGCCTGTGTTCTCTCTGTTGCCAACCAAAGAGCTGGGGCATAAGTCTGGATGTGGCTAGTCTTGCAGCAAAGAGCCTAGTCTTGTGGGTCCTGTTAATGTGGCACTTTGGGTTGTTAACGTCATCTTCCCCTCCTGCTTTTCCTCAAGTCCTGTGGCACTCACAGCCACCCCCTCCTACCTTGATATTCCATGTGCAGTTGATGTTGGGTGGGTAGTGACCTGGATAGTAGGGGCTGCTAAATGTCCCTTGGGCTTCACTCAAAAAACCACCACAGCCTAAGAGGAAAGGGAGGAGAGAATGGGAAATTTAAGGACCATCTTCGACACAGGGTATAGGAAGAGCTGTACAATCTGAGGAGAACTCAATCTTCTCACCACCTGTCTTCCGACAGGACAGTGTACTTTGGCAAGGTGCTTAAAGCCAATTGCTTTTAATAGTGGTCCCTTAGTGCTGGAGAGATGGCTCAGCGATTAAGAGCACTGGCTCCTCTTCCAGAAGACTTGAGTTCAATTTCCAGCATCCACATGGCAGCTCACAACTGTCTGTAACTCCAGGTCCAGAGGATCTGGCACCCTCGACAGACATGCAGGCAGAACACCAATGCACACAGAAATAAATGAAACTTAAAAAAAAAAAAGTGGTCGCTTAGCTGGGCATGGTGGTACATGCCTTTAATCCCAGAGGCAGGCAGATCTCTGCGAGTTGAGGCAGCCTCTTCTACCTAGTGAGTTCCAGGACAGCCAGAGCTATACACTGAAACCCTGTCTCAACACCACCACCGCCACCCCAAATTAAAATTTTTTTAGAAAGGAGGTAAAATGCCCCTTGGTCTCAGTTTCCAACCTGTCCGCAGAAGGGCCAGTCTGCCAACCCCCTGGGTTCAGGAATTCCTCTAAGGCCTGCCCCCTGTCTGCAGCCTAAGAACTTGCCCATCATTAGCCCTGACTGCTCTTACTGCTCATCTTGGGCAGCTGGAAGAAAGTGGCCTCAAAGCCAGGATGTCGCCGGTCAGTGTTGGTTATCAGCGTGACGAGGAAGACGTTCTGGGAGGAGAGGAAAGTCAGGTTGTAGGAGGGTGAGTAGGTGCCACATAGCCTGCAAGGCAGAGAGACAGAGTTAGTGACAGAGACAAAACACAGATCTTTCACACACAACTTAGCTCCCAAGTTGAGAGGTCATAGGACCCCACTCCTAACCCCAGACCTGAACACACAAGGGCAGGGTCAAAAAGGCTTTGTATAAAACGAGTCATGCTGGTACATATCTGAAGCCCCATCAGTGGGAGGCTGAGGTATGAAGATTTTGAGTTCAAGGCTAGCCTACTGTTTGGGGAAACAGGTCTCAGGTTAGCCTCAAATTCTCATCCTTCTGCCTCAGTCTCCTGAGTCTGGAGTGGCAGGCATGCATCGCCATGCCAACCAAAACTTTCTTCTCTTTATTTTATTGTTCTAAAGTATTTATCAGGTATAAACTTAATCAATATTACTTATTTTAGTGGCTACAGTGCAAATGGAACATCTTGTGCCTTCTGCAAGCTGCATAGTGAGAACCATCAGTCCAAATAGAGAGCTCCTGTCTCAAAAGCAAACAAAAAACTAACAAAAACCAACCAACAAACAAGCTATTACATTACAATCCCTTCTAAAGCCATGCACACATACACCAAGTCAGGTCCAACCTAGCAACGGTTGACTTTAGGTGTGAGAAGAGGCGTCACTGATGATTAGAGTTATCAACCTGATAAAATCTAGAATCACCCAGGAGATGGACCTTTGGACCTGCAAAGTAGATGTGTCAGTGGGGTGGGACAGCTGTGATGTCACTTCCTGGTGGGGACCCTGAATGTACAAAATGGAGAGATGCCAGACATTCATTACTCTCTGCTTCTTGATTGTGGATACAATGTAACTGGCTCCCTCCAGCTCTTGTCAACCTGACTTCCCGCCATGGTGGACTATGAGCCAGGTAAAGCCTTTCTCCCTTAAGTGGCTGTTCTCAGGGTGTCTTATCACGGCGACCCAAAGAAACTAAGACAGTCATGGTCACTTACTCTCCTCCTAATACTTCCCCTCTGGGAATTTCATCATCATTATCATCATCATCACTATTATTATTGTCATTATTAGTTTTTGTGTATGTGAGAGACGAGAGACAGAGGCTGTTCTAGAATTCACTAGGTAGCCGAGACAACTCTCTTGCCTCAATTTTCTGAATGCTAAGACTCAGTTCAAACCACCATGCCTGGCTTTAGGCTTTTTGGGGTGAGGGGAATATTTCTTTTTTTTGCATAATTAACAGATGGGAAAATGTTTATAGAGAAATGAGAAAAGGGCTTAGTCTTGACTGTTCAGCTGTGGCCAAAGATGGTTCTGTCCTGGTTTGGGTCAAGATGGATAGAAGGCTTTGACCTGCATCAAGGAGAGGCTGACCATCACCAATACTCTTGAAGGGGTAAAAAGAACTCCACCCTAACATGCAGCTTTCTGGGGCACCCATCTTGGACTACTCCCAATCCCTCCCAATGGGAATATTAATAACACCTTTATTTTCTGTAATTCTAATGCTCTGACAGCCTCAACTTTGCCTTCCTGGTACCAACCAATCCCTAGAGGCTACTACCAACTAGAATCTCCTATCAACACTTTTCCGATGCCTGCCAGCCAATCAGAGTCCCCAGACCCTCCCCACCAGGTTGTCACAGGTGGGGCCCAGTAGCAGACAGCTAGGGGCAGCCCTGACTCCAGAGTTTGCTGAGATGATCCCAGTGAGCCTATTTGAGGCCTTTTCCCCATGTTGGCTTAATTTCTTAAAGGAACCTTCACAATCTCCTTTACTCCCTCTGCCTCCCAGCCAACCTGGAGCTTCCGGTGTTGCCCTGTATACAGAAGTGAGCTGTGCTGTGCTGAGCTGTGCTATACCATGTTCTGTCTGCTCGGGAACTGTAGCAAAACTTTTCAATGGGAACTGTCTCCTGGACTGCAGGCCTGGCTATATATGCTTTACCATAATCCTTCCTTTCTGGCACCAGTTAGGGAAGCCCACACTTCTCTGCAGGATGTACATTGGTCTTATTACTGACAAAACCAAGGATCTCCTTGCCCACTCTCTGGAGCTCATGCAGGTGTATACCATGCCTGCCCTCCACTGTCTACTTCACAGCAGCCTGTAGCCAAATGTCACCAACTATATCCCAAGCCTATACCACAATCTGTCCAAATAGTTCATCCCTCAGCCAGCGCCTCCCCTGCTTTCCAGGACACTCACCGCACCACAGCATGGGGCTCCATGGGGCTCAGGCTGTCATACACTGTGACCAGGTCACTGCCGTGCTCATCACAGGGAGCGACATCAAAGCTTCGGAAGGTGAGGCTCAGTACAGAGTCGGCGTCCCCCCGCAGGACCCAATGGCAGCGGGCATGAGCTGGGTAGGGACTGTTAGGGAAACCAGGGGTGGTGAAGCGTGTCACCGTCCCACTATGTGCGTGTAGGGCAAAACTGCAACTGTCTGTGGGAGAGACAAGACAGAAGAAAGGTGTGAACCCTGCAGGCCTAGCTCCACCCCCAATACATCTCAAATCACTGCAAGCTCAGGTAGACACAAGGAAGGGGTTTTGGAGGGGAAGGGACAAAGATGAGATTCTTGTCCATCAGCACCATCTGGGGACCCCATGGCCTAAGGGGCATCTAGCAAGACAACTTTCTTCTCCACCAGAGGTCAACATGATACTTACTGTCCTGAGTCCTCTGCAGCATTCTGGGGTCAATGGCTGAAGAACAAGAAGGCGAACATTTTACCCAATCTGTTTCCTTACTCTTGCCTTCTTATTACCCAAAGGGAGGTGCCAGTCAGCAAGCAGAATCCTCCAGGACACCCAGGCCTGTGAGTGTAGATCTTCCAGCCACCCCTCTACAGGCTGGCCCACACATTCCCACCCTGGTCTACCCCTTACTCACGGAAGGCCACCACAGAGGTCAGCACGAAGGACTTCAGTGCCCGTGCTCGGGGTGGCAATGTGACAAATCGCTCCACAGCCATGGCACGGTCAACCTCTTCTGCCAGGTGTGGGGGGATGCTGAACACTGACCAGTAGTAGGCAATGACACTGCCCTCACTGGGGAGAGACAGGGGAGACCCTAAAATGGGGAGGGAGCTCCAGAGACCTATACTCTATATGACAGACAGACAGACAGACAGACAGACAGACACACACACACACACACACACACACACACACACACACACACACACGGCAGCATCATGGCCCTTGGCCTTCTGCTCTCTTGGTCTCAACCCTCAGGCTGGGGCCAGCTCAAGAGTGAGGAGGAAGCCTGGGCTAGGCTTGAACTCACAGCACCTCAGTAGAACCATGCTGGCTGGCTCTGATTGCTGATTTGAGACTGGGGTGAGAATCCACCTGCTACCCCGTATTACAGAAGCTTCAACTGAACAAGCAAAATAAAAGTACTTTGGAGCTGGGTGTGGTAGCACACACCTACAATTCCAGATACTGGGCAGCCTGAGCAACTTGAGGAGGTGATGTTTCCAAAGAGAGAGAAGAGGTTGTCTGCTCAGTGGCAGAGAGCTTAGCAGCAATAAGGTCCCATGGTCAACTCTCAGGACCGTACACATGTACACTGGGGGCCAGGTACAATGACTAAAGCTCACATTCCCAGTTACTCAGGAGGCAGAGACAGGAGGATCACCCAAGTCCACAAGTTTGAGGCCAGTGTAGGCAACACAGTGAAAGCATGTCTCAAATATAGAGGGGAGGGGAACTGGAGTATGACTCATTGGTAGTTTGCCTGACATGGGTAAGGTGATAGATTCCATCCCCGGTGCCACAGAAAAACAATGAGAGCAAATGAAGTTTGCACACAGCCTTCCTGGACACCTCGACTCCAGCAAACCCAAATTCTTTATGAATTTAGTGCCTAGGGCAGCTCCTGTGGAAATGGTGCTTGTGGACTGCCCAGCCAGCACCATCAATCCCTGCCTTCATTCTAAGTCACTTGCACAAGGACAGACACACTGACCCTCTTCCCAGACACCCAAAGCCCATGCCACCACAGCAACCTCCAGAACCCACCTGAAGGCAGTTACAGTTGACTTCTTGTAGTAGGGACCCAGGACAGAGATTTGACTGTACAGCAGCTTCAGCTGAGGGGAAAAGACAAGGCTTTAAGCTGGCCAAATAGGAAAAATGACCCCTTTCCTAGACTGCTCCCAGGCCCCCATCCCATCCTCAGCCCAAGGATCCAGGAGCAGCAGTGAGCTAAGTCTTTATACATGGCAGGGTGCTGGGGCAGGCAGGACAAAGGACTTCCCCTGGTACTAGACTCACCGCTTCCTTCACCTGGTTGGCCAGGCTGATAAACTCTGTGGAGGTGGAGTTCTCATATGCATCCAGAAAGTTCTCATTTGTGATCCTCAGATGGCCATTGAAGACCTTCTGGACCCGCACATTCCGGTCTGCCAGAGATAAAAAAAAAAAAAATATGATGGATGGTCACGTGACTCCACCAAGCCCACCCTGCCACCCTCAGCTGGGACAGACAAACGCCAAGAGGGGGCCAGATCTGAACAGGCCCCCATCATTCACCATCATGGTCTGAAACGGCTCAGGGAGACAATGCACTGGGCCCCTCCCACACATCATTCTCCTCCCATTAACCCTCATCCTTGACCTCATTCTCCCCTGTCTGTCATAGGCGGCCCTTTGGCCTCCCCAGTGAGGGAAGAGGGAGAGCTGCCACTATGTCACCCTCCGAAGCCAATGTACTCACAATGAAAGTGCCACACCAGCAATCCAGCCACAAGCGAGAACAAGAGGAAGCTGAACAGCACGGCCACCAGCACCACCCAGCGCCTGGGGCCTCGCTTCTCCACTTTCTTAGCGTTGTTCGCAGGCAGGAACTCCACACCCTCCTCAAAGCCGTTCATGTTCTAAACGCAAAAAAGTTTCCCGGACTCAGAAACGCTTTCACAATGGCTTCCCTCTCAAGTTCAGTGACATTTGTGAGCTTGGGGGAACTAGGACTGCACAATGGAGAAGGGGCTTCACCCAGGAGTGCAGGGCCTCTATGCCCAAGGGCCGCCACCTGTCCCAAGATACAAATCACCACCCCAGTGGAAGAAATGGGGGTGCTTCTATCCATACCCCATTGGCTGGTGAGCATGAGCTGCTCCACATAACACAGGGCAAGGTGGACTGCTCTGGGTCCATATTTCTACAAATCCAGCACTTGGGATGTGAGGGCAGAGGATTAGGAGTTCAAGACCAGCTTCAGCTACATAAGGCGTTTGAAGTCAGCCTGAGCTACATGAGACCCTGTCTCAAGATAAAACCAAACAAGTTTAAGACTTCAGGAGTCTCTACACCCACTGCTTTGGATCTGGACTTGAGCATAACGTCTTTGGCATAAGCGGCTGCCAGGTATAGGCAGAGCAAACAGCCCAGGAACACAAGTGGCATTGTGGACCCTCTGCAGGGACTCCTAAGAGACCCTCGACTGTACCCAGTGCAGTCCTTTTGGCCACCTGGGCCAGGAACCTATGGGCAAGATGAAAATTGCCCACCCTGTCTAGCAGCTTTACCCCCGATGTTGCAAAGAAAGCAATGGCCCCACCTTGACTACCTCAGCTGCAGAACTGTTTCAGGTCTCTGAGACATACCTGCCGTCACCTCAGATCTGTATGTCAAGCTCCAACAACAAACATGTCTTCTATTTTTCAAGTGTGTGTGTGTGTGTGTGTGTGTGTGTGTGTGTGTGTGTGTCTGTCTGTCTGTCTGTCTGAGGACAACTTGTGGAAGTTGGCTCTTCCACTTCCACCACGTGGACTCCAAGGACTAAATTCAGGTTGTTAGGCTTGGTGCCTTGGTGGCTAAGGTGTTTAACTGCTGGGCCACCTCAATGGCTGCTCTTCAACAATTTCATACAGGAATATGATACATTCTGATGACTCTCTCCCCATACCCTCTTTTTTCTCCCTCCCATCCATCAGTCTCCCTTACAGTCTCATTCCCAGATTTATGACTTTTCATTTTGTGACCCAGTTACTCTAACCAATGCCATGTGTGTGTGACCCTTGGATGGAAACTATCCACTAGAGACTTGGGAGTCACCAGTGGGTGTACAAATGTAGACGATGGCTTCTCCTTTCCCTGAAACTATTGGGTGTATGTTCAGGAACGAGAAGTAGGGCTCATAGCCCCTCCTTCAACCACGCCTGACCACTGACTGTTGACTGTGGGAACCCATCCATTGCAGGCAGTCGCAGCCACCGTAGGATCATGATTGCAAAGGCAGTGTCTTGCCTAAAGATGGTACTTGGCAGCCCCTCTGAATGTCTTCCAGCCCTTCCATGCTTTTCACGCACCTCTAACTCAATGTTCCCTTGATCTTGAGACTTAGAGAAGAGCAGTTTAAGTGTCTTAGAGCTAAGCACTCATCCATCTCTTACTCTCAGCACCTAGAGCAGCAAGAGTCTTTGCATTCACCACTGCCTGAACCAACATTTGATGTGTCACGTCATCACAGTATTAACGTTCATATGATTGGCCCCACCCCCTGCCATATCGGAATATTTATATCTCAAAGTCTCAAGTCTTTACTCAATAGACCCACAGATGCACATCTCAGAGGCAGGTACATAAAGATATTTCATTCTACTTCTTCAAGAAGTCACTATATGCCGGGCAGTGGTGGCACACACCTTTAATCCCAGCACTTGGGAGGCAGAGGCAGGCAGATTTCTGAGTTCGAGGCCAGCCTGGTCTACAGAGTGAGTTCCAGGACAGCCAGGGCTGCACAGAAAAACCCTGTCTCGAAAAACAAAACAAAACAAAACAAACAAACAAAAAGAAGTCACTATATAGAACAGATTGACCTCAAATTCTGAGATACCTCTGTCTCTGCATCTCCTGGGAGGTGGTATTAAATGCATACACCCGAAAGGGGGTGATTCTGATGCTAAGGTCCTGTCTCCCAGTTGGTCCTTGATTTGTCAGTAAAGAAGGCCAGGGGCTAATTCCTGGGCGGAAGGTACAGGCGGGACTTCCTGATCCCAGGAGGAAAAGTCAGACACAAGAAAGGAGAGAGGAGTTTCTGCCATGCTTTGGAGGGAGAAGAACACAGCAACCATGGGAGATCTTAGGGGATCTGGGGCCTGTGGCCACTACCACAGGGGGGTGGCCAGGGATGTTTGACAGGAGCTAGGTGGGATTAGCCACTGAAGTTTACGACAGGTAGAGAGACAGAGATAATGAATTGGTAAGGGTACACTTTTCCAGATGGGAGATATCAACACCTAGCAATTGTGCCAAGAAGGCAAGTTGTAAAGGAAGAAACTGTGTGTGTGTGTTTTGTCTGAGGATTCAAGGGAAGCCAGATGGGGGCTGGTAGCATGGCCAGTCCTGGAGCAAAGATGGTAGCTTAAAACTACACTCAACATACACCCCCATACCTAGCTAATTTAAAAAAAAAAGATTTATTTATTTTATATATATGAGTACACTGTCACTGTCTTCAGACACACCAGAAGAGGGCATAGGATCCCATTACAGATGGCTGTGAGCCACCATGTGGTTGCTGGGAATTGAACTCAGGACCTCTGGAAGAGCAGTCAGTGCTCTTTACTGCTGAGCCATCTCTCTAACTTTGCCTAGCTAACTTTTAAAGACTTTGTGTAAGTGTGTGTATCTGTGTGTGGATATGTGAGTGTAAGTACTCAAGGAAGCTACAAAAGGGTGTCAGCTCACCTGGAGCTGGAGTTGCAAGCATTTGTGAACCACCCAAGGTGGGGTGCTGGGAGACAAATTTAGCAGCAAGTGCTGACTACTGCTGAGCCCCAATTTACTAACTTGATAATGTAAATCATAACATCGTCTCTTCCTTTTTTCTCCTTCATCCTCCCAAAGTTGCATAATCAATGTTTTTAAAAAATTATATACAACAAGGGGTAATGGCGCACATTTGTAACTCTAGCACTCAGCAGGCAAGGGACAGTAGGATTGCCAGTTTGAAGTAAGCCCAGACTACATAGCAAACAGCAAACAGCCTGGACTACACATATACAAAGCAAGATCCTGTCTCAAAATAATTCTCCCAAACCATACATACAAACAATTAAAAAAATACAACTAAATATGTGTGTGTGCTATAAATGAGATAAATGAGTGAATACATACATACATACATACATACATACATACATACATCTTCTTAATCTTTTTTTTTTTTTTTTTTTGGTTTTTCGAGACAGGGTTTTTCTGTGTAGTCCTGGCTGTCCTGGAACTCACTCTGTAGACCAGGCTGGCCTCGAACTCAGAAATCCGCCTGCCTCTGCCTCCCAAGTGCTGGGATTAAAGGCGTGCGCCACCACTGCCCGGCCTTCTTAATCTTTTTACTAGACTGTTCCACTCACTATTATTTTCTCTCCTATATAATAATTTGTTTATATTAATACACTCAAGTTTAAACATAATTGCTAAGACCTTGTAATAGTCTTCTCAACCTTCCACATATAAAGTCAAATAACTCATTTCATTTTCTCCCTATGAGCCTCTTTTCCAGAGCCCTCTGTCCTTTCTTATACCTATTGTGAACTGTCCTTCCCCATGCCTGAGAACATCCTTTGCCTTTGTCTTGCTCTGAAGCCTCTGTTCCCTAAAATCCCATCTTCATCTCTTGTGGCTCATTCTACTTTCATTTGGACTTTCTTGGGTTTTGTTGTTGTTGCTGTTGTTGTTGCTGTTTGTTTTTTGTTGTTTTGTTTTGTTTTTATTGGTTTTGTGAACAAAGTTCACGACACAACTCCATAGCCTAGGCTGACCTGGAACTCACTACTTAGCCCAGGTTGGCTTAAACTCAGTGATCCTTCTGCCTCAACCTCTGAGTTCTGGGATTGCAATCATGGATCCACCCTTTCTAAAGGTTATTCCACTTTAAGAAGCTTTCCAAGAAGGAAGGAAAAGTTTTGATACTTCACATAGTTTTAAATATAGTTTTTATTTCTTCTTTTGTGTGTGTGTGCGTGTGTGTGTGTGTGACACACTTTTAATTCCAGCACTCAGGAGGCAGAGGCAGGTGGACCTCTGAGCTCAAGGTCAGCCTGGTCTACATAGTGAGTTCTACAATGGTCTGGGTCTCATAGAGAGATTCTATTTCTAAAAAATAAAAAATAAAATTTTATATATATATATACATATATATGTGTATATGTATATATACATACTTTTCTCTGCGCTCATTTTTGTTGATAGTTGGGGTGAGTGTAGAACTATAGGGTTAAAATAATTTCCTTTTTGAACTTTGAAAACACTGTGTTTCTAATTTTGCTTCTGAGAGCATAATCTGTTATCTTTCATTTAATGACTTGTCTTTCTCTGAAAAACCTCAAAATGAACCCTAAATTAGCTCTGAATTTCATTACACTGAAGTTGCCATATGTCCTCTGAATTTAGAAATTTCTGTGTTTCAATCTAAGAAACTTTCTTGTGATATTTCTTTCTCACTTTCATTTTTCCTGATCTACTTTTTCCTAACTTTATCAATACTTTCTTATCTTTTCTCTGTATTAGCCATCTCATTCTTTAACCTTTTTTATTGAAGTTCTTCATGTTTGCTACCAAAACTTTAATAAGGTTTTCATTCCTTCCTCTTTAACTGTATTTTGTATTTGTTTTGTAGAAGTATGCTTTTCTCTTTATATTTCTCTGAGTACCTTTTCTTTATATTGACGTTTTTCTTAAAATGCTCAAGGATCATTCATTGTCCATTCCATTTACAGAGTGAGATCCTAAAAGCAGTTCACATTTCTGCATGCAAATGTCTAGTCAGATTTTCTACTGGGCGCTTCCAACAGTATCTTGGTCATGCTATGGTATGGTTTAATTGCTCCAAGAAAATACAGCATTCTGATCTCTTGACTGGATTTATACATGG